ATTATAAAAGATTCTTCTATTTTTAATATGACTATTAAACATAATTTTATAATTAATCATATATATGTTAAATATAACAACCATAAGCCTTATCTCATAAAATTAGGTCAACTATATGAATTATATGATGTTATTATACTTTATTATTTACTAAGTTTTTAGAAATATATTATTAATTAAGAGGTCTCAATCAACAACTTTAAAAAAATATTCTCTTTGGCTTTCCTCTATACTTCTTGACAATGATTAAAATTATATATTTTACTCTTCTCATAGGTGACTATCTTGGTTTTCTTTATACATGTTCAAATTACCTCAAATAATTTTCTACCATTTTTCCTTCAATAGGTGCAATGCCCACTTTTTCCTGTATACTCTCATTTCTGATTTTATCTGTATGTGTATATTCGCACATCTATCTCAACATTTTCATTTCTGCTACTCTAACTTTATACTATTGCTGTCCCCTTAAATCCCAACATGTAACATCCTGAATTTCAATCCAAGGAACTAGTTACTAATCAAATGTAAATTAGTAATTAGTTAATTAATTATGGTTTTGTGTGTTGAGTTAATATTTTGTATTTGTTGGTTGTTATGTTGATAGGATTGAATGGTGGAATGGCAATTCAGGGCATGACGCATGAGCAGCAGTGAGAGTTTTCTCATTGTGTCATGAGCTGCAGTAGAAGCTACATGCACCGCAACACATGGTACAAATTTTTACTTAATTATAGGAAGATTGATAATCTGCACCTTATAGGAAGATTGTTATAAATGTCTTCCTACAATTACCCTACAATATAATTTTGAGTAAATGAGCAAATCACGATCATGAACTTTTAGGTCAAATAGTGCCATAAATTAGGAACTCATTTATTGTTTTAATTATTCCCTTAACTTTTAAAAACGATACAATCTTACCATTACCATTAATAAAAGTTAATTTTGATCGTTAGTTGACTAAAAAATAATAAAAAAAGACCCAAAAGTTCATGAAAAGGATAAAAAACTTTTAATAAAAGATCCAAAACATTATGGACTTTTCTATAATTTTTTTTAGTCCTTTCAGACAAAAATTTACATTGCAAATAAATAAAATTTAAGGGACTCGAAACAATGAAATCAAAGTATAAGGAATAAAACATGCTAAAAGTATAAGGATCAAAAGTTATATTTTTTCTATATTCTTTATAAAACTGACATTAGAATCAAAAGTATTTTCTTTTTTTGCAATTACATATGATCAACCATTGTCAATTTTTTTTACATAATATTAAGTTAAAAAAATTTTAAATTTTGAAAGATTTTAAAAAATTGTAATGATAATAAATGTCCAAAAAAGATCATAAAAATAATATTCCCTCCGTTGAAAAATGTAAATTTTTTTTTTTGAGAAATTTGGTGTTAAAAAATGTAAGGCATTTTTAGTTTTTCGAAATGTAATCATTGCTTTTTTTTAAAAGTGCCCCTATTGATGAATGACTTTATATTTACTATAGGGCATTTAATAGGAGTAAATATAAAAAGGTAGGGTTAGTTTAAAAGTAAGTAACTACTTTATTGGGGGGTGAGGTTCAGTTAAAAATGCCTTACATTTTTTAATGGAGGGAGTAAAGTTCATGATAACATTCAACCAAAAATAACATCATTAAAGAAATATTATTCACAAAAAAATTTAAAAAAATAGCATGTTTTTGGATCAGGCTGGGTTGGGCATGATTTAACCCCTGCCCAATGACCAGTTTGATGAGCCTGAACAGCTTAGGTGAGGTTGGGATACAGAATCATCGGGTTGCTTGAACAACCCTATTAACAAGATATAGATTAGAGTAACTAATTAGGGTCAAGCTCATTAAGCATATCTTTTTAATCTTAAAAAAATTTAGAATTATGTTGGACAATTACTTTAGAGTGTAAAATGATAATTCAAACTTAAAAAATCTCTCCTTTTTAAACCCTTTTATATTTTTTAATTTTAATATTAAAAAAATCAAAACTGTACTAATTCTAAAACCCTAACCTCACTTCACAAGGATGAAAAATGAATATATAAAAAGCTTAATATCTTTGTCACTGATGTGACTCCACAAGGAGAAAGATCAAATTATTTTGACATTTGACAATAATGAAAATCATTAAGATTTAGCTAACGATGCTAACAAAATCTAATTGTTATTAGCGTTGATTTTGTGGTGATGTTGTTTTTTATTAGACTTAAATTTGTTTTCTAGACTTAATGTTATATATAGCATTTTTAAATTGAAAAAAGAAAAACAATATAGGGTTAAGGCTCTAAGGACTAAGGTTGGGCCGACTAAAATGGAGGTATAATCAAGCTTAATAGGACTAGCTCGTTTAGGCCTTAGCCTTTCAAGGACCGAGCTAGTTCTAATTGATGGCTCTAATAGAAATCAAAATAGTCTAAATTTTGCTATATGAAATTTGGTAAATTTGGAAGCATTACAAAAATTATGCCAATTAATAATTCAAACGCTGTGTTTTATTTAATTCGAAGGTTGGAAGTGGTTTTAATACACAGAAAATTTTCTCCGCAAAATGCTTCTAATTTTCGCTTCATAAATCAGATGCAAATCTTCGCCATGCTAGTTGTGTGGCGGTCTCAAGTTCTTGGTTGCATCTCTATTCCGTTCTGATTCAAAAGGAAAATAAAATAAATTTAACAATGTTGAAGTCATTATCATAAGATCCTTGTTCTTGATGTGTGTATTAGAAGTAAAACTCAAAAATATTGACAAGTAATAGCATCAAGGATTAAGTGGTGGCAATTAAAAGGTTAGAAGTAAGATATTTTCAAGTAGAATCTTTTGAACAAAGAAATTTGAAAATCCCTAGAAAGTGCTAACATTTTGTGGGAGGATATAGCTAAAAAGATAAGGAAGGTTGTAAAAATAGTTTTAGGAGAATCAAAAGGTTTTGGTCCAAGAGATAAGGAATTTTGATGGTGGAATAATAGTGTACAGGATAAAATCAAACATAAGAAGAATTGTTTTAAAACCATACATTTGTATAACAATGAGGAAAATTGAAAAAGATACCGTATAACTAAGAAGGAAACTAAGAGAACTGTGAGTGAAGTTCATTCTAAAGTTTTTAAAAAATTTTATAAGAACCTTGAGACAAAGGAAGGAGAACGAAACATTTATAAGTTTGCTAAGAGTAGGGAAAGAAAATTAAGAGATCTAAAATAGGTAAGGTGTATAAAGGATGAAGAGGGAAGAATTTTAGTTACAGATAATTAAATTAAAAACAGATGGGAGACTTATTTGTCCAAACTTTTCAATGACGGAGAAGGTTCGTTTAGTAATTTGGAGGATTTAGTAACTCATGAAAGGAACAAAATTTGTCATTCTATCGAATAATACATAATAAGGAGGTAAAAGAAGCTCTTAAGAAAATGACAAATGGTAGAGCTAACAGACTTGATTGTATATCTATTAAAGTGTGAAAATATTTGGGTGAAGAAGGGGTGAGATGGTTGACTAAGTTATTTAATGTAATTTTACGTTCTAAGAAAATGCCTGATGATTGGAGGAGAAGCACATTAATTTCTATTTATAAAAATAAAACAGATATTCAAAATTGTATTAACTATAGAGGGATTAAACTCATGAGCCATACAATGAAATTGTAGAAGAAAATAATTGAGCATGGGTTGAGATTGGAGACGAGTATGAGAATCAGTTTGATTTTATATTAGGTAGATTAACTACAAAGGTGATTTATCTACTAAAGGGATTAATGAAAAAGTATCATTGTAAAGATAAAGATTTACATATGGTTTTTATTGATTTGAAAAAAGGTTTATGACCGTATACTAAGAAAAGTGCTTTGGAAAGCCTTGAAAAAGAAGGAGGTATGGATTTCTTATATTAAAGTTATACAATATATGTATGAAAGGGTAAAAACTAGTATAAAAACATTTAGTGGTCAAATAAAGGACTTTCTTATAAAGATTAGATTACATCAGGGATCATCTCTGTTTAACTTGATCCTAAATGTTTTGATGGAACATATTCAAAGAGAAATCCTTAAATGTATGTTCTTTGTAGATGATATAGTTCTTACAGCAGAGACAAGAGAAGAGATTAATTATAAACTTGAGTTATAGAGGAAGACATTAGAGTCGAAAGGTTTCCGTCTGAGTAGAAGCAAGACAGAATATTTATATTGTAAATTTGGTAAGAGACTAGTCGACAATAATTTAGAAGTGAAATTGGGAGATCAAATTATACCTCAAGTAAAAAAGTTTAAATATTTAGGAGCCATTGTTCAAAATGATGGCAAAAACTTTCATATAGGATTCGAGCTGGGTGATTTAATTAGAGAAAAACTAAAAGAGTTATTTGTGATTGTAAGGTGCTCAATAAACTTAAAGAAAAGTTTTATCATACTGTTATTAGACCGGTTATATTATATAGTAGTAAATGCTAGGCTCTAACAAGACAACAATAGTATAAAGTTGGAGTAACAGAGATGAGAATGTTACGATGGATGTACGAACATAAACGTAAAGATAAAATTTAAAATGAACACGTACGCAAAAAAGTGAGGGTAGCATCTATTGAGAAAAAAATGATAGAAAATCATTTGAAATGGTTTGGATATGTACAAAAAAGATCGTGAGAGGCATCAGTAAAAAAAGTGAAACATATAATTTTAAGCCTTATTAAGAGGAGTAGAACAAGACTTAAAAAAATATTTTTATAATTTATTAAACGTGATCTCTTAATTAATAATATTTTTAAAAATTTAATAAATAATAAAGTATAATAACATCACATAATTTATATAGTCAACTTTATCTAGCAAAATAAAAGCTGTAACTGTTGTTGAGGTCATTATGATAGGCGTTCCCTGAGCCCATCAGGCTGTTCAAAACTTTAGAGTCAAGATGTACAAAATAGCCAGTTTCAGACATCAATATAGAATTTTTCGTAAAGCGAAATGGGATCGATCAGATCAACGAGGCTCTGCCATTACACGTGGATACAATAATTTTTTATTTCCTCGAGGAAAACACTATTATCAATCCTGTAACTTTAACGTGTTTCAGTATAGGTAGGGACTAGCTAGCCTTAAATTTACACGGACAGAGTCAGAGAAGCTCGCATATGCCGTGCCCACCAGAATACAACGAACAAGAGAGCCATTCAAGTATGATCATAACCATAGATCAGAACTTATTATCACCCCACGGTACAGACCCAGTCTTCTATTTCAAGGTGTAGTAATAAGAAAACAAGGTACTGATGACATTATCTAATTAAGGGCAAAAGACAACCTTATAGTTTGTTCCTCCTGGGCAAGTGAAAGTGCTAGTTGCATCATCCTTGGGATAGCTATAAGCATCAGGACACCTCTTCTTGAAGAATCTAGAATAATCAGTTGGTCCACAGCTTCCAGAGTTGCAACAATACTGATCTGTCTTAAATACTGTGCATGCGTTATTACAGCCTCCTGGAGCTTTTAGCTGGTTTGGGCACTGTCCCTTGATATCGGCGGTGCACCAGATGCCACGTGTGCAGCCATTAGAGGTTGGGCTGAAATCCATGGGAACATTGAAGCCGTCGATGAGTGAAATGTCGAAAAAGTCCTTGTTCATGTATTGGTTAAGGGCAAATTCTGCAAGGGTATTTGGGGGAGTTCCATAGGCATTGCATTGAAGCAAGCCTCCGCAATCACCGGTCTGGCAGTGTCCACGTCCTGACCCGTCGAATTTACAGTTTGTTCGGGCCCATATGCGAGCCGCTTTGGTGCCTGGGGCCACGTCAACGGTCCACATCTCGCCGGAGTTTAGCCGTCGGCCGCCACCGACAGGTACTGAGGCTGCCCACACGGTGTAGGGGCATTTGTTTGTGACAACGAATCTGGCGGCTTGGGTGGTGACAGTGAAGGTGAGAGCCAGAAGGATGGGAAACACTACAAGGAGGTTTTTTATGACAATCATTTCTGTGTGGGGTGCTTTGTGAGTGTATACGCAGCTAGGATGGTTATATATAGAGGGTTCAAGCCGCGGAGCATTGGGATTGATTTCAGTGCGCTTAGCACTGATGAGCGCGATGGTGGGCAGCACTTTCAAATTTTAATCTGCTCTAAATTTAAAATATTATTATATTTTATATTTATTAAAATAAAAATTAATAAAAAATATTTTTTCTGTCTTTAGTTATAAGTATAAGATACTTTTAGATAAAATTTCAGATATTAATAAACCTCATTAAATACACTTAACAATCTTATCTTTTCAAAATAAAAATATAAACTTTCAAAAATACTCATCATTTAATACATTAAGAAGAAAATGAATGAAAATTAATTATAAAGAGAGAAAGAATAGTATTGAAATTGGTGCATTTAATAAAATCTTAATCTATTTAAAGTGTCTTAAAAATGCCCTATAATTTAGGAAAAAAGGAGTATAAAATAATTTTAATATATTTTTTTATTTTTAATATGATGTAGATTTAATTTGGAAAGCTCAATTTAATATTCTATCCAGATATACTCTACACTGTCCAAATTAACACTAGATTAGATCTAGATGATGCAGAGTACACCTTAATAGTTAATGTATATCAATTATAAAACTCTTAATAATAAATTAAGCCCTCTAAATTAAATCTAGATCATATTTAAAATAAAAAAATTATTTTATAATTTTTATTTAAATAAATATAAAGTGCAATAGTACTTTAAATTTAAATTATTTAAATTAAAATTTAAATAGTTTAGCGCTGACTACCATCGTACTCATCAACGCACTTAGCACTTAAACGAATCCCGTGGAGCATTAGAGTAGTGGACAAGTTGGCTTTGAATAATGAACGCGATTGGATTGTGTTGTGCCAGATCATCTAGGTAGGATGTTGGCATACGTAAACTGCGTTCGGTGTCCGTACTATACTCAACTCCCATGAATGCTTATCAAGGGTCATGAAGTCGCCCAAATTTTAATCCAGATAATTCAAGTTTAAATTTTTTATTTTATATTTATTAAAATAAAAAAGAGTAAATAAGTAAATTGACTCTAAACTATAGATTCAGAATGTTTGAAATTTTAAACTTATTTTTTTATATAATATTTTCCCTTAACCTTTGAAAAGGATATAAATGATTATCTTTATTTTGACTAAAATTTAACTTTAATGGTTAGTTAAGCAAAATCTAACAGCAAAAGACTTTAAAAATTATAGAAAAGAATAAAAAATTATAATAAAGGATTCAAAAATTATAAATAAGGATCCAAAAAATTATAGAAAATGATCAATAAAATTTTATTAGTTTTTTCTGTAATTTTGGAAGTTATTTTCTATTATTTTTTGGTTAATTAACAGTTCAAGTTAACTTTGTTAATGATAATGATCATATTGCATAGTTTAATATTATACAAAAAATGAGTTTTAGGTTGATCCTCAACACTCTTGGGCCTATAGTTTAGAATTCAATTTTCTCTTTTATACAAATAAAAAAATTTAAAGAATTATAATTTTATTAATAAATATGATTTATCACCAATTTGGACAGTCTAAATTTAATTTGAAGGTATTAAAATTTTTATAATTTTTTAAAAATAATTATTCAAATTTACTCTAAACAATTCATATTTATAATTTTTAACTTTTAATTTTTTTAAGAAAAATATCTTTTTTGAAAGCTCTAGCAATGAGATTATCAGTATTTTTAATATTATATTTACAAAAAATAAAAATTTTTAAAAATTATAAAAAATTAATATTAAATTTAGACTATCTAAAATATGTTTAGATAAGCAATATATAAAAATTATAAAAACTTCTAATATTAAGTTGGACTATCTAGATTAAATATATATTGTCTAGGTTGGTGGAGGACAGATTTTTTAAAAAAATTAAAATTTTTTTATTTAAATAAATATAAAAAAACAGGTTAGTTTGAATTGTTTAGATTTTAATTTAGATGATTCAAATCTCACTACTCTATATAAGTATTATAGTGCTCTGTCACCCAAGTTGGATCTAAATTATCTTAGCTAGTTTGGAAAAATTTATGAGATTGTACAATCTAACTCTTTTAACATTTTGTGATAACAATTGTCATGAAAATCCACATGATAACTTACTATAATTCAAAATCTCATAATATGTTATTTCATGAAGAATAACACTCATCAAAATAGCCTTACAATTAAAAGAAAATTCAATTCAGTAATTCAATCAAACCTGCAAAATACAAATGGCTTAACTTTTTAAAAACTTGAATAACGTAATCCTAGTTAATCTAGGACTCCAAATCGATAAATTATATCTTTAATGATATATTTTATTCTTATTTAAATTTAAAACAAAATAAACTAATTTCTTAAATTTAAATATGAATTTTAAATAAGATAAACTAATTCACTAATTTAACAAAGAATATTCACTAAATTAGCTAAGCTAGGCTTAATATGTTAAGAGTTTTTCTTGAATATTCTAGAACTCTTTTTGCTCTTAGGACTCCTTAATCGTGTAACACATCAATAATTAATGAATATAAAGTTTCTTTTGTCCTTTTAATTTTGATTCTAGTCATTGATTTTCCAACCGCCCTACAATGAATCAAAAATACTAAATATTAGATTTTGACTTGTCCCCTAATTCCTATCACTAATGAATTTTCTATTGAAAACTAAATAGTCTAATAATTAACTTAACAAGTGGGATTTGATTATATTATGTTAGTTGAATGTGTGTGTTTACCAAACACACACATATCATGAGACCCAAAATTCTTTGATTTTGCAATAAAATGAAATATTTAATTAAATTACAAAACCAAACACTAATAGTGATTAAGACTTTCAATTTCATATTATTATTTTTTCATTTACATATAGGAAAATTTCATTCAACACCACCCAACTTTAATTTTAGATATGCATTTATTTTGATCCTATATAATGAATTTTTTTTTGAATTCTGTTCATGTTAATTTAAGGCAAATGATGCGTGATAACCATCTAAAAAATATAGTAATTATATTTGAGAATTCTGAATCAATCTCTGAAGGTATTTTGACAAAACAAAAACAATGTGATATCAGCAATACATTATTTCTGGAGACCTTAAGAAAAATTGACTATTATTCTAAAGATAATTGATTCCTTAATTAAAAAAATATAGCAGATCGAAATGACAATTTTTGGATGGACCCAATACACCACGTTATTTATTGTGTTTCTAATAAAATTAAAATAAATCAATTAAATAAAATATTATCATTATTTTTAATAATTTTATTTTTATAATAAAATTCTTATTTAATTTCTTGTATTTTCTCCCTACTAACATTAATATCAAAATTAATTTATATTTAATATTATCTGAATATTATGTTTTTATTAGATGAATTATGAATGACATGATCCACTAGGTACTTCCAAGAATTTCTTGAAATGAGAAACTTATATATTATGCTCCCCCTTGTTTTAAAAAAATATGTTGCTATAATATAAATAATGCTAATGGATTCTGTAATTGGCAACGAAAAATTACAATAATATGAATTCCCTGACCAGAATTCAACTAATTCCAATTTTTTATTATTAAAAATAATTAAATTATTTAATCATGCATGGTTAAGTCAATAGGAAAAGAGTACTTAAACGCAATCACGTTAATACGCTATAAGTATTTCCCCTTAAACAAGGTCATATTTATGATAATAAATAAATGAGTGTGATTGATGATATGACATGTCTATTCTTTTATGAAGATGAAGCTTCCCATACGGCTTATAAAAATCGTATTATCAAGCATTTCCTGACACAAAAAAAAAAAAAAGATACATACAACTTAATTCGACATATACTTTTTTCTCAATTATTTTTTTAAATAATTCTACAACATTTTCACAAAATTGTTAAACATGAAAAGAACTATTTTAGTGAGTCGATATTGAAAACTACTGTTTGTACTTTGAAAAAGTAAGGGTAGTCGAGTAAGATCGAGCTTGATTAGAATTATTTTCTTTACATTAAATAAAAAATAACAAAAATTAGGAGATGAAAAATGGATTTTTCTTTTTTTTTTTGGGGGGGGTTCAAACTCTCAAAGAAGATGAAGAAAGAACTCAAGAAGCGTAAATGCAATTATATAGAGACGATATGTTCATGCACTATTGTTGTGCCTACAAGTTCTGCTTCTCTAATTTGAACAGAGGTCCAATCAATACCTGAATTTTTCAGAGAGCCGTGAAATAATTATTTAATGGTGTTTTTAAAAAATATATATTTTCTGTTTTTAAAATAAAAAATAAAAATGTTTGTTTGGTTAAATGTTTATAGATTTTAATATTTTCAAAACTATTTTCATTTTTTTAAATAAAAATGGAAATAACTTAGAGTTGTTTTTATTTTTTATTTTTAAAATGCATATTACATTTAATTATTGTAAATTACGTTTAGTTTTGACTAATCACTATCACAGACCATTATCATTAATCATTATCAACCACCACTATTAATTTTTTTAACTATAAAATTGCTTTTAAATGAACATAATTAAATGGAATTTCATTTATTTTTGTTTTAATTTTTTTTAAAATAAAAAAATGAGAACAAACCAAACAAGTCCATAGACTGGTAACATTTTGTTTATATATATATATATATATATTAAAAAAGACATTGTAAATGCAAAGAGAGAAAGTGAAAAAGCGAAGTGTTGAATGAGGAAACTAATTAAGATTAGTACACTAAAATATTGAAAATATAGAAAAATATGGATTTATTTGCTTTAAGTTATATTAATATACATGTCTCTAATGACTTTTCCTGGAAAAAAGGAATTTGCCAAGATATTTTGCAATACATCAATGTGGTCGACGAGGAAAGGAATTTATTATGAATGGGGGCTATCCAACTCCAAAGCAAGTCAACTTGTCTAGTTGACGAAGGTAACACGGCACAATAATTTATAGAGTCTTTTTTTCGATAAAATTTATAGAGTCTTTATCATAAT